GCTCTGTTTTGAGGATAGGCAAGCAGTAGTAGTGCGGATTAATGCCACCCTTGAATATGGCGTTGCGATTATGGCAGAGATGATGCGCCGTTATCGTGGCTGCCACATTTGGCCCGGCCGCTTCCACAAACCGGGCCGCCATTGCCGATGTGATGTGCTCACAAACCACACGAAGCTTTGGACACCGACTGAGAATCATAGGCATGACGGTCTCATAGAAGCTCTGCTCACGTTCGAAGATGTCGATGGACTGATCTGTGGATTCACCATGCACCAGGAGCAGGAGACCCACTTCTTCCATCTTCTTCAGCGCCGGCATGATCTTCTCGTAATCTGTAACCCCGAAGTCTGAATTCGTAGTCGCTCCTGCGGGGTAAAGCTTGACGGCATATACATGCCCGCTCTCTTTAGCTTTCACAATCTCTTCTGGCGACGTTTTGTCGGTCAAGTAGAGCGTCATCAAAGGGACGAAATCTTCCGGCCTTACATCCTTCGGAACACGAAGCAAGATTCGCTCACGGTAAGCGAGGGCTGCTGCTGTGTTTGTGACCGGAGGCACGAGGTTGGGCATCACCAGCACACGGCAGAACTGAGCCACAGCATGAGGCACTGTGTGTTCCAGGTAGGGCTCGTCACGAAAATGATGATGGAAGTCATCCGGCTGCAGTATAGTCATCTCTTTCATGTCTGCCATGGCTCAATGTGCGATTTGCAGGTGTCTTTCTCTCACCACACTCGTAGATTGCTAGATCAATCGCTCCTGCACGTTTGGCTATGCAAATCGGAACATTCGTGTATAATCTCTATCCTGCCGCTCTGCCTATCCCCCCGAAACCTTTGCGCGCTGCGGGATCTGCTCGGAGATGCGACGACATGTCAAAAGGCCGAGGATTTGTCTAGCTACGGGATGTCTATGTGTCTGCATGCGGAACAAACATGAAGATACATCATGGCAGAAGCGCACAGACTAGTCCAAGCCACTCCGGCTGGTCTGCAGCCTGTGCAGCGCTTGCAGTGCGCAGCAAGGCTGCCCGCAGCGCGGCTGGCGGCCGCCACGATGGCAGGCTGGCCGCCAACACCGCGAGCCTCGGGTCGGCGGGCCACGGACACGCGAGTCCTGCGTCGACCCCGAGTCAAAAAGGGACATTGATTGATTGCACTCTGAGTCGTCTACATGGACAAGGTGGCGAAGCTGACGTGCTCTGGGCGCTGTTTCCAAAGCCGCACCGAGTCCATCATAGCCTGGGAAGTTTTTCACTGAGACACCCCTGGACGAGTCCGTAGAGTCGTAGAGGATGGGGCAAGAAGCTAGCAGGAGGCAGCGAAGGGCCGCAGCTGTTGCGAGTGCGTCTCTGGAGTCCAAGATGGCCTGGAGAGCCTCGACACCATGCTGCCGAGAAATGCATGCAAACGGCATGTCAAACTGCCTCCTCAACTGCAGCTGCACCGCCGCCAAAGAGGCGGCCCCTCTCGATGGTGCGGCGAAGAAGGCTGCACTTGAATGAAAGCTGCTGGGACCTCTGCACGCCGACCGATGCCACAGCAATATACCGACTCAACGTGCAAGACAGTGCGACATGCTCCCAACCTTTAGTTCCAAGTGCCTGGCAATGGCGCCTTTGACGTCTTGTCCGAGGGCACTTCTTCTGCAATGCAATCAGCAGGCAAGCCAAGAAGAATAGCACGATGCTGCCCGTCTGGACAGATCGCGTGCACTTTGCCTTGGATGAGAGTCTTTACGTGTGCCGCTGTGGAGGGCGTCCATCAGCCATTACAGTTGCTTGGTCGACGAATTATGATCGAGTAGGACGATCCAGCGTTAGTCTGGGATCTTGCATCGATTGCTTTCATGGCGCATGGCACACACATCAGAAGTTGCCCGCATTAGCAAAGCAATTGAAATTCGAATGAGAGCTGTACGGTGCAGTTCGGGCACTGTAGACGAGTCCTCCCGCCTTGCCATGAGCTTGTGGAGGAAAAGCCGTGAAACTGGTGGTGAAGGGCGGCTCCTGACATGGTCCGGGGCTTCCCCTTCTCTTGGAGATTGTCATCCAGGAACCGATGATTTACAGATATTTACAGTTGCAGAAGCCCAGCAGCTCCATGCTCAGCTCCACCACGCAGTCGGGAGCCCTGGAGGTGTCATCCGCGGCAGCTTGCTCTGCGGACATCAGCCCACCACTAAGCAGATGGCAGTCACCTTACTGCGTGCCAGAGGATGTCTCAGCCCGGCATAGGCGCTGCAAGCGATGTGAAACAAGAGGACTGTCAAACCGCCAGGCTGCCCAAAGATGCTGTCAGCCGCTTCTCCTTGCAGATGGGGTTTGCGGCAAAGTCCATGCCGTCCTGGATATTTGCACAACCTCGTAGCAAGAAAAGGCACCCGCCTCTCAACGTTTGCTCCTTGAAATCTTGCCCCTGAAGATTTTGCAGGTCGGCGGTGGTGGCAGAAGTTACCTCAAGCAGCGAAGCAGGTTTCATGAACTGTGCGACAGCACAAGCAGCACAAGCGTGCTCCAACCGGCCCGGCCCGGAAAGCAACGGGCAACGCCGACGTGCGCCGTAGCTGCAGCCGCAAACGATCTCGATGATTCAGATCGCCCACATCTGCCTCGCCGACGGTGAGAGAGTTTCCTAGTCTAACGACCTGCACAGAACTCCAGCATGTACCGAACAGAGCACTGCGGGAAATCTTGAGGTGGATTCCAGGCCCGATATTCTATCGCTCGAGCTTTTGGGTAGCAACATTGCAGGAGTACGTCGCAAGAGGCATAATGCCACCTGGCATCTTACAGTCTTTGATTACCTACCTACCTACCTATCCGTCTCTACTGTACCTACCTACTTACCTACTGTCCGAAAGACCGACCGGCAGACGTTACTGTACAGTAGACATATGTACGTATTTTCTCTCTCTCGCGCCGTGTACGTTCAGGAAGTTACCGCAGGCAGTCGTCCCGCGGCCGAGGGCCTGAAGGTCCTTCTGGAAGACTTGCCGGACGTGTGCTTGGACCATGGCATCCACCTGGCGACTTGGCCGTAGACCCGCAGCGATGCTGGATAAGGACAGGGCCCAGAAAGCCACAAATAAGACCAAAACACCCTTGACTCGGAACACAACTTATTCCGAAGTGGCCGTTAACGGTGAGGCGTGGCCGAGCGCTTTTGCTGCAGCCACCTCAAGCAAGGGAAACCCGTCGCAGTGCACACGGCGACAGAAATCTGAAAGAGCCAGTGCAGCTCTGACACCGGATCCCCAGCGCGAAGTAGAGCACTAGCAGCCGCCACGGCCTCGAAATAAGATATAATAAGATGGAAAGGCGTATCCCGTGAGAGCGTGGGAGAAGAAGCTTGGCCCTAAGGACGCACGACCTGAGGGGGATGGGGATTCCTGAGCACTTTAGCACCTCCAATGCGGTTGACCGTCTCGCTAGGTGTGTACATTTTGCTGTCTGCCAATTGAGACAGCCGGCAAAACCTCAAAACGTCTTGCCTCGTGCGATGTCATGGGTGGCACATCGCCTGCAAGCAGGTGGCATTTGATGCTTAAGAAAAGCGAATAAAAGGGACAGTCAGGTGCAAGTTCCAGCGCCGAGGCTCTGAGATCGAGAGGTTTCTAGGACGTCAGAGCTTCGGATGAATTTTCAATTGCGCTTGGCTCGTCTCCAAATCCATATTCACAGCCCCGTGCGACGAGTATTGTCCTGGACCCTGGTATTGCTCCAGACAGTAGCCTCGGCACTCCAACTGCAGATGCCATCCCAGGACAACAGGGCATTTGTTGAACCTAGTCAATTGTCTATCAGCGGGGCAGTAGGCATGTGTGTGCTCAGCACTGCGACGCCCACGGTCCGGAGCGACCCACACATGTTAGACGGAAGAAAAACTCAAAGTCATGGACAACACGGCATCAGATGTGCGCTGTCTCGTACACCCGAACCGTCCAACAAATTCGTGCAGGCCTCGCAGGAGCAGCACCAAGCCACAGCGCAGCTGCACACCTCTGGTTAGCTTGCTGCCTGCCCTAGCCTGCATAAGCCTGCATCTGCTTGCATGATGCATGAGTCTGAGAACGTCCCTAACCGGAAACATCTCGAAAGCATCAAAGGGCGGGGTGTTTGCTTGCGCTCGGACATGGCCGGGCTGCGGCTGCCGGCGGTAGCTCCCAGGGCGGCGATCGTCAACTCGCAACCACGCAGTGACTTCTCTGGCGCCAAGGCACACCAGCGTGACAGAGCCTGGGCAGATGAATGCGATATGCGAATCTGCATGCCTCCACACCTTACAGATCAGACCTTGTGTGTGCGCACACAAACTTGCAGCGACTGTCATCGATGACTTGCACGGGACACTAGTCACTAGCCGGAAAGCCTTGTCTGCAGCATGGCCTCTCGCCTTGCGTGTAGCGGTGGTGGGCTCCACATCAGTTTTCGCTTCTGGCTCATCCCGGCCTGCAGGAGAGGTCATTGGCACGCTTCCACTACGCTGTTGGGCGAGAGGAGGGAAGCGACACTCAAGTTGTCCTGGATCTCGAAATGCACAGCGTATGCCCCGCCTCGCTCTGCAAAGTTGCGCTCCGGGCTAGCCTTCAATCTCTTGCAAGGCAATACTTGCTCCTGGTCGAGAGCGCACATTTCTGGTCTAGCACTGTACTTGCCACTGTCTCACATCTAGTACGTTGCTGGTCCTCCTCGCTCTCCAGATCGAGGTCTACCGCTGCAGAACCAGCACGCAGCTGGCAGCAGAAGGCACTGCTTGAGGCCATGCGGACACCATCTATTGCAGAAATCTATTGAGTCGTGGGAGCGGGCTGCTGCAGTGTCTTTGTTGAGCAGTGCAAAGGATCTCGGATCGGACCCAATCTGCACGCACTTTGTCGGTCATTCTGCTGCGTCGCGTGCTTGATCTGCCGGCAGCACAAACTGTCAACTCATGCACGAGCAGGCCATGACCAAATGCAACAGACCTCACGTGCGCAAGCGCTTGCTCAGGTCCGATGCATCTCCTCGATTCGCGGGTAGGCCATGTCCCAGTCCAGCCTCGTAGCTTGGCTTGCTATTGGCTTGAGACAGCATGCAAGCTTTTCGAGGCCAAAGCTCGGAAAGCAGACCGGAACTTGACGATGCCCCGTTTTTGCCTGAAACACCTGCAAAAGCCCCATCCAGGACAAACAAGCTCCTCTCTTCACACTGGTCGAGGAGAGGCTCTGCCTGGCAAGAAAGGCCAAACCTGCAGAGCCCGGTACAGTTTCGGGCAGACCAGAACGTGCGAAACTTCTGTGTGCCTTTGTTCTCCCTTGCGCGGCTTGCCCGTCTGCCTCGGCTTCGACTGACACTCTGCTCAGGCGAGAGCTGGAGCGCGCTCGGCTCACGACGTCAGCCCTCGGAGTGCCTTCTCGCGACCTGGCGGCAGTGAACATGAGCACGTTTTCTGGGTTGTAGTTTTGGGGCCCTGAAACGTATTTATGAATACGTACCTCTATAGAAACCATAAGGGAAATTTTAAAGTTTCTCCAATTGCCACCTAGTTCTGCACTTCGCCACTCTCCCTTTCACACTCTTCCGTGCCTTGGCCGGTTCGAGTTCGCCGAAGCAACGGAAGCAGCGATGTCCGCCGCAGCTCGTTGACTGAAGGAGGAGTTGAGCGTAATGGCCTCACTGTGTCGAGGCATATCTCCGACATCATGGAAAGGGAACCCAGTACAGTAGACGATGCCGTGCCTCCCTTCCGTAGTCTGGGGCGCCGGGCTCCGGGACTAAAGGTCAAATTGGCAGGCCTGGCTCCAGCTTTGCATGCACTGAGATACTTGCCGAGAATGAGAAAACGACATCGACCTCAATGCTGCCACGTTTTTTTGCCACCCCGAAAGGCGCCCTTCACCAACCCGGATTGCACCCCACGCTGCGAGGCCGCACACTCACGACGCGGGCGGAGCGCCCACAATCATGGCAGCAAGACAAGTCAGGAAGAAGCGCAGAACGATGTGCCTCCCATGGGCAGGAAACTGTGCTCTATTTTGGCGGTTTCTGTTGACTTTCGGGCTGCTATATACTACCACCCGTTTGACTACGGCTGTTTCTACTGCTGTTCCTTCTGTTGAAATTGGAGTTACTGTTGCGGCTGCGAGTACTATTGCTACAATGCAATCACACGTAGAAGCGCCATGAGTATTCTTGCCGTTCTTATTTGACCATTCATAGCACGCATTGCCATGCGTGTTTTGTCTGGGTATCATCACACCATCTAATGCCACATCAACTGGAGGCACGTGTAGTAGTTGCAGTTGGTGTTGTTGTTGTCTTTCTGCTGCTGCTGCTGCTGCTGCTGCTGCTGCTGCTGCTGCTGCTGCTGCTGCTGCTGCCGCCGATGCCGTTGCCGTTGCCGTTGATGTTGCTGTTGCTGTTGTCGTTGCTGTTGCTGTTGCTGTTGCTGTCCTGTTGCTGTTGAAAGACTGACTTTCTTAGACATCCGTTTGCACTCGATAGACAGTATCATCCAAAGTCCGATCTCTGATCCGGACTTCAACTGAAGTTTGCGCGGGAGCAAAGGCGAGTCACTCCAAAAGTGGATCTTTACACGTCGTAGTCGCAGTGTCACACGCGGTAATCTAGGCTGTGCGTCGTCGTCATGACGGTGGTGTAATTGTCATTTCGGCCTGCTTGCTGTATGCCTCCCGAAGCTCAGCTGCCAACTCCTGCACACATTAGTGCAGCTCATCTGGAACATGGAGACGAACATACTCGGGTCCACAGGCCTCCTTTGTCTGAAGCTCCTTCTGGAGGGCCTCAAAGGCCTCGCATCGCGCAAAGGAGTTTTACAAAAACTCGCCCGACCACGGCACTGCAGACGTCCCGCACTACTGCATCCAAGCCTTCTCCACCTTGCCTTCTAGCAGGATCTTGTCTTCCAGCAAGGATGTCTGGGCCTTGGTACAAGATGCTTGTAAAACTCCAGAAGTCACCAGAAGTCCACAAAGCAGTACAGTACGAATCCGAACCTGCTGGAGCTCGAAGGCGATAGCGCTTATTTCGGCGACTTGCCCGAAAGCCTGCCCCGAGAAAAGAATGGGAAGGCTTCGATCAAAACCAAAGTCCCTGCCTGCTCTTTCTTGTCCTCCAAGTTGCAGAGGCGCCACATCGCAAAGACCTCGGCTGCGGCACGGCGGGCCCGTTCGTGTGGAGAGCGGCGCCTTTCTTGGCTGAGGCCGGTTCCAAGTTCAGCCTGCAGCGCTACGCTGAAACGACCGTGTTCGAAGACGATGGTTGTGGGTCCGGCTCAAACTTGCGTACTTCGGCAGTAAGCACTTAAAGGCCTAGTCTGTAAAGCCAGGTTTTGCAGCAGTGCCGGAGCTACTTCCAAGTGCTTCAGAGTACCTTGTTCGTCCGAGGGCCTTCTGGCATGTTCGGACAAAGACGTCTCTCGCAAAAGAGACGTCTCCATCGTCCATCGATGCTTGAAAGACTAAAACCCTAGTTGGTGAGATGAGTCCCTCGAAGACCTGCGAGGCAATGCGGCCAACAGTCTGGTAAGATCAGCATTGTCCGGCCTCTGCATGTCCAGACTCTCGCGAAGCTCCTCTCGTTCATCACTACCAGCAACATATTTCTTGTCTTATCCTTTGTGCGCACTTTGGATGTGATTCGTTCACAGGTTGTCTTCCCAGGAGCCTTCGCACTGGTTCGAGCATGTTTGATGTCGAGGTGGCCTCGCCATCCTCAGGAATCGGCTCAGGCGGCCCGCTGCAAATTATGCTTACAGCTCGCGCACTCAAGTGCTGACAGATCAGGGCCCGTGCCGTGCAGGCACAATCTCAAGGTCGCCAGGAGGAGCTTCTCCTCGCTTCAAGAACTTTCGGGACGAAACAGGGCTGACCGACAGGCTTTGGTTCAACTACCTCGAGCTTCTTGAGCTATGCTGATGATGCAAACCTTCAGCTGCGCTCCTCCAACGTTCCGGCCTCGAACCAGGCGTGAAGAGAACTTTATATTCCCGGCTCCGACGTATAGACTCTAGACTAGTTTGGGCTGGGGACTGTATACCATTGACCGGTTGCTTCAACTTCTCGTTACCACTCCAAGTCCAGGACCCCACGGATCTTGCGGCCGTTTGACGCCGTGACCTGGTCAGCATCTGGTCGAAGCTTCCTTTGCGATCCTGGATTGCAAGACCAAGGACCTCAACATACTTGTGCCAGTCTTTGACGACGACGGCCTGAGCTCTTGCAGCTCATACGTGCCGCATCCCAGGACCCAATACTGAGCTGGGGACCATAAGGCCCTTCGTCTGTCCCTTCTCCCACTGCGACAACGCTACCTCAACCACCTGAGGGCTGAGGGCTGAGAAGTCTTACCCTCACTTCCAGAATCAGGCCGTGTTCAAAAAACTGAAACCATAAGGCATGAACGGCGTGTGCCCGCTGGTGCTTCAACCGCTGCTTCGACTCCTGCAGGAGGCGCCTGGGCAGCAGTTCTTGGGCCACGTTCCGGGTTAAGCTTGGCTTTGCTTCGGAGGGCCCTCTCAGGGACATCAAAGTTACACGGATTTATTGGAGAGCCTCGCTACTCTGTTTTTGGTGCACCAGCAAATGTGTTCATACAGCGTCGGGGGGTTTCGCAGGTTTCAGGGCTACGAGTTTCGACTCAGGCAGGCAAGGCTCGCGAGTTCAGGGCTTAAGGTTGAAGGTGTAATTGTCCTAAGCCCCGAAACATCCTAAGCGTTACACCGGAAACCCTTCGAACCTTTAACCCAAAACCAAAGCCGTAAACCCTCAATCCTAGAGCCTAAGTGCACGTCGCGGGCCGGTAGCACTATTTTTTGCTTTTGGCCCACGGTGCGTTGCTTTGACATGCCTTGACGTCCTGTTCTTAAGCCCTATAAAAAGCGGCCTGTGCTAGCCTCCAAGCCAGAGCTCTGAAGGAAGCTTCCGGGAACTTTGGAGCCTCCAAACTCCGGCCAAGGGCCCAGGTTTAGCAGCATCTCCCTCTTGGAGCTGCCGCACTGCACAAGACACCTTCTGACTGGTTTCTGAGGGGCTGGAGATGAGATTGAAAAGTGCTTGGAAGGAGCTGACAGGCGTCCAAAGGCTCTGCCTTCTCGCGCAATGCCGCAGCCAACAGACCTTTCAAAGAGCTCGCCTCAAGCTTTCTTTCGCCTCAGGGGGCAGCCCTCTGCATGCTCCTGGATGTATCGGAAAGTGGCATTGATGCGAGCTTGGCGTGTCGTCCCCTTGGCAATCTGGTGCAGGTAGTGCTTCTGGAAGAGTCCTGCATTGGGACTCGCCACGCAGCGTGGGGCATGGGGGATAGAGGTGAAGTAGCTTGCAAATTCCAGCAACTCCGGCAAAGGTTATTGGCACTTCCTTGCTGAGACTACCATTATGCAAGTGGAGCATTCGAAGGCACCTTCCATGGTGCAGATTTGACCGTGGCCCAAGTTGAAGTTGCACACGCTGCCCCTCTCGGGCTTCAAGATGCCGCCTGGCCACATGAAACCGCTTCAGCCTGAGCCTTACTCGTCATCAACGAACCGGTGACACCCCGCGCCTCTTCTGGGCGCCTTGAGACCCACCTGGAACTTGCGCATCGCTCCCAGTGTGACTGAGATGATCCGGGCGTCCTGGAATCACTTGATGCCAATTCATGCACACATGCAGTGACGAGTGCATACCGCCGGCGCAGTCCTGAAACTTCCCCCGAAACAGCGGCTCGTCATCCGAATGCCATGAAACCTTCTGCGCAATGGTTCCGCAACCAAGGAGAATGAAATCGGGAGTGCGTGAGTTCGTGAGTGAGTGAGTGCCCGCGCACTCGAAGAAAGCCGTACTAAAGCCTGGTGGTCACCCGTCTCGTACAGGTTCAGGTTCACGCAATCTGGAAACCTCCCATCCTTGTCCTGCTGGAACGTACGGAAGCATGCATGACAAGCAGTAATTTTGTTGTAGTGTCGCAGTCCTCGCCATTCAAGTTGAGGCATTCCAGCCAACGCCTGGCCATGACCATGAACCAATCCGGAAAGGTCATCGCATTGACCTGCTGCTGGCCGTAGTTGTACGGACACCTGCATATTGTCGGAGAACTGCCTCACTTGGAAAGCCTGCCTCCTGAAGAGCACGTTCCTAGGACCCCAAGCCGCCTGCAGCCCTCACCCACCAGCCACATCGTCTTGCGCGTCATTGCTGATGCTCCGTGAATTTCCAACCAATCCACTTTTGATTTCAGGTCCAAGAAATCTTGTTGGGTGATACTCTTCTCTTGGCACATGTACATCCTAGGCTTGCAGGCTGCAACTGCAAAAATCCAACTACCAAGCACAAAAAACCTTTGCACAAGGAATCGCAGCTCTGAACTCCGAGCTCTGGTGGTCTACTCTAGAAGCGCGCAATAACCAAGCGGCCAAGCACGATTATGCACATCCTCGATGCAAGGGATCCAGCTCCTTGGATCCAGGAAGTGCTTCTGAGATCGTGGTGCCATGAAGAACAGACCCTCACATCAGACCAGTTTCTTCGGATTCGCTGCTCTCTCCACGAGTAGTTGCAAAGGCTTCTCCTCCCGTGTGGCCTCGAAGGAAAGCCGAGACCACAAGTATATCAAAGAGATGCCAGCACCATCTGTATCTTACCGGGATCTTAAGAGAGGTTGTTGCAATGGCTTCCTCCTGCGACTCTCCTGCTGCTTGCGGACTGTCTTGGATCAACATAGGCTTCCTATGCTCGCATTGTTTCAACACCGCTGCCTCCGGATTGGCCTCGCGCTTGGCCTTTGCCTCTGCCTCCTTGACGTCGGAGATCTCTCTGGGAGTCATTGCTGAGCCGTCCTCCTTGACCTCAGTTCGGCCACTGTGGGGAGTCAGCTGCTTCCTCTCCTGCAAGCCATTGCAAGCCAGGAACCGGAGCGGGCTTCTTCTCCTGCGCCTTTGCCTTTGGTTTTGCTTTGGCCTTTCGTTCGGGCCGCTCAGGCCGCTTCAGCATCCGGCGTAGTCCTGGCACAACACATGACATTGACATGCCCGCCATCTGCCGCGGTCAAGGACGGAGCACTATGCCGAGGCACGTTGCGGAGAACGAAGTCGGCCAGGGGATCGGCTCCGTCGCGGCAGTGCCCCGTAGCCCGGCTGCGGTGTGTGTGGGTAGTGGGGTGGGGGAGGATAATATCCGGGAGGCGGGGCTCCATAAGCAGCTGGTGGGGGGTAGTGCATGGGTGGTGGTGCTGCATAACCTGCCGGAGGATAAGCGGCTGGGGGCGGGGCGCTCTGTGGTGGGGGATGTTGCCCGTAGCTGGGCGGTGGAGGACTGTAGCCTGGAGGGGGTGGTGCTGCATACTCTGGTGGCGGGTATGCTGCTGGTGGGGGGCCATAGTGTGCTGGCGGGTAGGCACTGGGTGGGGGAGCACTGGGTGGCGGGGCACTAGGTGGTGGAGCATACGGATCCCGATATGGGTCCCTGTATGGATCCCGGTAAGGGTCCCGATCGCGTTCTCTGTACGGATCTTGGTAGGGATCGCGATACGGATCTCGAAAAGGGTCACGGTAAGGATCCCGGGCGGCGGGTGGGGGAGCCGCATATGGGTCTGGCCCTGGCGGTGCAGCGTACTGAGGTGGAGGGCCTGCTTGAGGCGGCGGATACTCAGGAGGCGGGTACGCATGTGGAGGCTGGCTGTACCCGGGCGGTGCCTGCGGTGGAGGCGCTCCATTTACCACATGAGCTGGGTAGCCAGGAGGAGCCGCGTACGCTGGAGGAGGTTGATAGCCGTGGTGATACCTGGCAAACTGTCCCTCCCTCTCCGTTGGCCATTGCGCACATCTCCTGTCCTTACGATGCCATGCCTTCCTCTGCTTCTGCTCCGGCTCCTGCAACCAGTACAGTAGCAGGGAGGCGGAGCTTCAAGGGGTATGAGTCTAGTTCTCGCAAGATGCAATCTACTCGTTGTGAAAATCCTGTGAACAGATATCAAGACCATCCTTGCACAGACATTTGACCACACATCCTTGTTCGTTGACCCCTCCACCCTGCCGCAGCGCTTCAAGCCTTTACCCTAATCTTGTAAGGATTCTCGTCAGCTTCTTAACCTTTACCTGACAATTGCCCTTCTTCAGCCTCAGCAGATTTAGGATCCTTCGGGGCTTTTGGGCCTCAGTCTCGACGTGGTAGCCTGGTTTTGGAGCCTGTTGGTTGAGAAACTTCTGGCAGAGATTCCGGCAGAGATGTACCTTGGAGGCTGGCGCTCACCTGACGAAGGTTGCAAAGCGTTTCACTGCCCCAGGTTGTCTCCATAGCTCCACCATGCAATTCTACAGCATCCACACCCCGTGCCCAGACTGCCGAGAGCACATCAGTCATCGGGTGTGGCATGGGCGGTGTAATTTTGCATTGGCGACACGGCTTGCAAGTAGACAATCGTTTAAACAAGACCAAAACAGCAGCAAGTGCCTCCAAGTTTGAGGAGCGCGAGCACTTTTTCTGGCACCGTCTTCACGACTTGGTCGGCAACCAGATTGGCACCCAAATCGCTACAGCTGCAAGTGTTTTTTGTTTACAGGTGCGTGTGCCATACATATCGGTTTATGTATGCAGAATCATCACTGCAATCCTCGTCATAATGACGAAAGAAATGGTAGTAGTGTCACTGCAAGAACCGAGAACAAGCATCCATGACGGGAACCAGCGCAATCGGGCGAAATAAGAAGCGGCATGAAAATCACAACAAATGTGAGAGAAGGAGAAGCAATGAAATCTCTGTGCAGTCTCCAGTTTGGCCGAGAGCCACAAAGCCACATGCAATGGTGTGCTTGCAACGTGCGCGCACAGATAGGATCACTACTCTACAAGCTTTCGCAGCAGGCTGCAGCTCCTCGCGCGGCTTGCTTGGTACGGCGGGGGGTAGGCATGCATGGCTCAGTATGGCCTCCACGGCGTGAATCGACACATCCAATTTAAGATCATCCTTGGAAGAAGCTGTCTGACAATGTGGTGTAGCGGTGGACTTTAGGTTTCTCACTTGTGAGACCGTCAAACTTGACTGCAAAACACTTTTGTCCATGAACCCCCAAGCCCCTTGTTGACAGCTGGCTGCTGCAGAAAATGCACCGACTCACAACACAATAGCAAGAAAGGCTGTCAGCAGCACAGCACCTTTGCAAATGCAAAGCGAGATGGAACTGGCATGGAGCTGGCCTTTTGCGCTGCAAAGGCGCGGTACAGCGTGATACAGCGTGGTCGTGGTCTACAGGTCTCTCGGGTCGGCTCATACATGAGAGCACTATTGCCCACAGTGCCAGGCAGCACAACGTGTGCCAGGTGCCACAGCTGGGCGGCGGCAAATGACAGCACTGAGCTTTCGCAGCATCAGCGCCGCCATACTCTTCTTACTAGTGGTTCAATGAGCCAGCCGCACCAAAATGGAGGGTCAAGCGCCCCCATCTGTGCCTCTTCTGAACCGACTAGAGTAATTTCCCAAAAAAGGCCAAGTCTGCTTCACACCCAACAGCCCAGCTGGCTTCTCGGCGGAAGGCATGAAAATCACATGCAAACGCCTACAGGTGTCATCCCGCAACCAGTGATCTTTGCCTTCTTCTGGGCTGTCGGCTGGCCTACTCCGCCGCAGCACTTACGACACGTCTTGGTCCACCATTGCCTCGGCTCCATACCAAATTCGTACCCCATTTTTGTCCCGCAGGGTCAGGGGCATTTAAGGATGACGGAAGCAAGGAAAGGAACGGATTCCGACGACTGTGGTGGGTCTAGTACGGGATGATTCACGGAAGAACTCAAGCTGCAGCCGCCTTTTCTGCCAAGGAGCTCCAAGAGACGCTCGCAGCGTGCTTGTAGGGCTTCACTCCCACCCCTCAGCCCTGGGTGACACAGGCTCTTCGATTTGCTGCTCGCTGGCCGTCTTCTAGAGACTGCTGTTGCAAGATATTAGGTAACTTCGTGAACTGAGCCGGCCAAGGCTCGACCAGACGTTGGCCGCGCTTGCCTCCTCAATTTGTGCCAACTACAGACTATGTCCTGTGCTTTTCTGGATAGGTTTTTGTTGCATCTGGTGTGGAAGCTGCGACCCCTCCCACCAGGTCCTCGATGCTGCCAGCTGCGTGCGTCGGGCACCTATGCATCGTGCACTGTCTGTCGCGCTGCCACTGGTGAAACTAGTGCTTCTTGATAGAAGTGTAACTACCTCCCAGTTCGACTTAAACGCCTGTTCTACCGAGTGCCTGACGCCAGCGCCTCAGAGCCTGCAAGCGCCGAGGCTTTTGCTTTGCCTGGGAACACAAAACATACTAACCAACACTGATCCTGCGAAGACTGCTCAATCGATGCCGACAGACTGCATACGTCGAGGACAGATTCTAGTCAACACATCCAAGCCGACACAAAAAGAGAGAGCAGACACTCTGGACTCTGGGCCTCCAGAGAATCCAGGCGACGAGCAACACGCTCGCGGGAATGACCTGCGCTATGGATGGACAGCTCTCATAGCTCTCCTCCTCTGCGCGTTCGTCGTTTCCACTTTATGCCCATGTGGCTGGCCACTTCAGACATCCTCCCTCTGCATCTTCGCGAACGACAACATGCAGAACTGCTTCTGATTTCCAGCATTTTCATGCCCGTGGCCTGCTTGCTCCCAGATGTCCAAGTACACCATGCGAAGACGCTGCCAGGCATCGCTCAACTCGCCTGCGGTGAGATGCCGATAGCCGCACGCAGAGGGCCGCACGCACAGGCGATGGTAAGTCAGGCTTTGTATATACCCTGACCACTCATCACGAACAAGCCTTTTCAATATCAGTCTGCCTGGGCTGTGCTTCATGAGCAAGGACAGCTCGTTGCAAGCCCCCTCAAAGACGGCACCACGAGCCTCTGAGAGCGGAGGCATGGGAGTCTACGCCGTCTACGTGCTTTTTTGTGTAGTGGTTTTCTGTGTTTGGGGCGGCGCCTGTCGGAGACGGCGGAAAGCGCTGAGGCCCCGCTCGAGGTCCAAGCCACTGGCAGCGAAGCGCGGACTCTCCAAAGTCCTCCCGACCTATGAGGAGCAAGGCTGCTTTCTGCGGCTTCCGAGAGAAGACATGCATGCGGCCCCCGCCCAGTATCGAGCGCCGATACGCACGACAAAGGCCAGGTTGAGATCCTCTGTAAGTCCGTTCCAAGAAAGCAGCGGCAGGATGGTGTGACTGGAATGAGGGCCCCCAGCCTCGCGGGCTTTGAGGCCAGTTTGCCACAGCTCTTCGGCAATGGCTTCTCTGAAACTCACCTGCGAATCCATCAAAGACAAGATCAGCACCGCACTTGGCGTTTCCTTGTGGCCTCGATGTGTGCACCCGACTGGAGGACCCGCTTTCTTATTGATTTCAGGACCTGCGCAGAAAACGTAAAAGCCCTGTGCCACACTCCGCATGGAGCAACTTCCCCCTGGAGCAGGCCTTGGTAAACCTTTCTGCGGCTTCCCAGCTTCTCGTCCACTTCGTGCTCAAGTTAAAAGGCCCAGCTCTGCAGGTGGCTTCATAACTGGTGTGTCCTCCGGGGAAGCTTAGGTCTTGAGCTTCCGAGTCCTGCGCTACACCACGAGCCTGCAACCACGCGTTTGTAGACTCCCTGGCTCTGCGCATGGCCGCGGGCCTGCAAGGCTGCTCAGAATGTTCTCCGTGCGTGCACTCTGCAGCTGCCACCACACCTTTTGCGAATGTGGTTGGCACAAGGCACGGCTCCAATCGGATGGATCATGGCCTGCACGACGCGACAGTCACGGACCCAAGCAAAGGCAGGGTGTGACAGCGCGACACCTCTTCGCAGCTGGCCGCATCTCCTCCCGGGATCTCTTTCCTCCCATATCGTGCATCGCTTTTCGGCTGACGTGACTCTGTGTGGATCTCTCTACTGCGCACCTCATCGCATGATCTCGCGACGACTGTGACCCCTTGCCTCAGCACCGACACGAATGCATGACTCCTCCCACATGCTCCCTATAGCTGGTGGATGCTTCAATTTCTGCTACTTCTGCATAATAGTGTACCGTGGCCGCTCGAGCGGGAGTGGCGCAGTATACTACGTGTACAGTAGCCATATCAATGCCTAGTATTACTGCTCGCTTTTTCGATGAATGAGACACGCCGTGGACCTCTGCCTTCGTACACACGCAGGTTTTCCCAGCAGCATGGCCACACCTACTGTAGAAGCCCCAGCACTGAAAGCTCTATGTCGCCACGACGCCAGCTCCTCCGCTGAACTTCGCACTTGGCCAGAAGGCACTGTTCTAGCTTCTGGCGCTGTGCCTGTGCATCTTGCTCACACATCAACCTTGAACTGCAAGATGCTGCAAGTATGTGTCCAAAGACCCGGGAGTTCCAACTCGCCTGCGTCAGGCGGGAGAAGATCCGCCGGCGCTGCTCGCTCCCCAAACGGCTCAGGAGCCCATGGAGCCTCCGAGCATGCAGGAAGAACTAGTACTGTAGTAGTAGTAGTCGTCGTCGTCGTTGTCGTCGTCGTCGTAGTAGTCGTAGTCGTAGTAGTTGTGGCAGTACCAGCAGTAGCAGTAGCAGCAGCAGTGGCAGTAGCAGTGGCAGCAGCAGTAG